ATAGTAGTGGGTTATCTGTAGGACTGGCAATGTCAGAGTTGTTGACTTGAGCCTTTTACAGCTCAGCATACTAATATGGCTTTACTTTTTATACCTCGTTTTTATACTTTTCTGCTGAATGTTTAAGACCAAGATAAAGAAAGACCTATATAACAAGAAAAGTAACTTTTGTATCTGTCATGATCAGTCAAATCTTCTCAGGATTTAGCCTGAAACCCTGTACAGCAGTTTGTAGATCTTTTATCCGTGTCAGCTATGTGGATGAGTCATGGCCATTGCTTGACCAATTTGCTGTCTATGAAAGCCTGAGAGAATGTTTTCTCTCCATGTGACTCTCTTTAGGCACACTCTACATCATCGATCACTTTTCTCCGTGGCCCCATAATCTCCTTGAATAGAAAGTTTGGGACACCATTGAGTTACAGGGTGTTACAGTACAGGCTCTTTTAAGTCCTGAGTCCTCACTGACCTTGAATGGCGAGGGCCAAAATGTTGGCTATCCTTGCAGCCCTTCTTTTTACTAATTTTTGGTTTGCAAACTTAGGTTGTTAACCCTCCAGAAGAGAAGCTTAATGATGTTATTACCCTATAACATAAGCAGATGAGCTTAACTTCAATATCTGTCTGAATATCAAACATCTTAGACATGATATGGAACAGGTAGTTTCCATCAAGTATTGATATGTTAAACTTTAAGGCTACACTTTAAAAAAAAGAAAAAGAAATGTATTGCTTCTTCTAGGGGAGAATAGGAAGTTAAAGGATATCGAGGACTTTCTCAGGTGATCTGTACCCTGTAAAGCAACTTTTCAGCACAGCACAGGTATAGCAGAATGTATCTCTTTGCCGTCCATGTTTCAATATGCTGTATCTTTAACTCAAGGGCTCTCAGTTCTCATTTAGTGTTCTAAGTCTTGAATGCTAATAAGTAGTACCCAATAGATAAAGGTCATCAATAAAACCCATGATTTTCTTGAGCCTGCTGGTGATGACCCCAGTGTACTTAGATGAGTCTTGGTGAATGCCCTACTGCACAACACACTCTTGTCCATCACAGTGGCTGCCAAAGGACAATTGCAGCAGCACCCTGCCCTTACAGGCTGTCTGTATATATCATCTTGTATCTTAACCCGTGTGTGTGTGTGTGTGTGTGTGTGTGTGTGTGTGTGTGTGTAATACAATGCAGTAGAATGTAAGATAAATAATATTCACACCTAGAAAGAGATATAATAATATTTTTACCTCTTATTCTTCTAGAAGATTAGTATGAGCAGTTGAGTAAATCAAGAAGTGGCCTGGGTTTTGGTTTTGGTTCCTGTGGCTTTCCTCAGTGTTTCTCCATCCCAAAATTCTTCCAATATCACCTATAGTTCAGGTTGTGGGTTAGTGTTCCTATGATTTTTTTCTTCTTTCTGCTCCACCACCTGATTTTGACATTTCCTGGGCACCTATGCCTCAGTGAACTCTCCGCCTGCTCTTGCCCTTTTCCCAGAGGGAACCAGAAGCTGATTGTTACTTGCTTCTTGCCTGTCTGGTCTCTCGTGTCAGGGTGTCATCTTTTGTCTGGCTTGTCTTGTCTTAAGGAATCCTTGGACCTCTGGGACATTTTAGATGAGATGTGGCTTTCACAATTATATTTTCTTCCTGATGGAAGTCAAATTCATCCTATCATCAAGATGTTGCATGAAGGGTTATTCTTCTTCAACAAGGTCAAGGACTTTTATTTTTGTTTATTAGCTATACCCTTTCCCCAGCCCTAATACCTCCACTTGTGTACCAGATAAAACAGAGTGTGCTTTTCTTCCTGGAGAGGACTTCTGCCTTGTAGGTATGTAGGATGCAGAGTTTGTGTCCATGCCACAATGACACAACTTTCTTCCAGGATTGCCCTCTCCACGAAGGATCTCGGATCTCCTGCTCAATATTTTTCACAAGTAACTGCTACAGGTATACAAGACTCAGTGGTTGGTGTTAAACCTCTTATATCTTTGGTCCTCATACATGGTATTCTTATATTACCTCATAATTGGATGCTAGTAATTTGTTTTTAATATATGTGCTGCCGAGGCAAGCACTGGATGCTAGCAATTTGTTATGCCTCATATCTTTGGGTTTTTCCTTAGATTTCAGGCTAATCAATTGACCTGAAACCTGTTTTCTGGTTAATTCAAAGAATGATTTTGAGAAATCGTTTGACTTTTTCTTGTTAAAGGGGAAGGAAGACTTCAGTGTTCTATACACTCTGAGCAGAAGCAGAGCATTTTCTTTCACTCTTCCAGATGTTTTTTTAATGCATTAATATTTGCTTGGCGTTTCCTTGACCTCATTTTTCTTGGTATTTCTTTCATTTGGTCCGTTTTTTAATGGACACACATTTTTGTGCAATTGTTCTTATCTTTTAAATTATTACAGAATGAAAACATTTTAAATATTTATCAGGGGCTGGGGAAGTGGGTCAGTGGAATAAGTGCTTCCCTGGCAAGTGCAAGGGCCTGAGTTCAATCCCTGGTTCTGCAAAAAAAAAAAAAAAAAAAAATGATTTAAGTATTCATCAGATCAACTCTGTTTGCTGCAGTGACTCCAATAGATTACCATTTTTTTTACATTGTGATAAAATATACATAAAACTTACCATCTTAACCATTTTTAAATGCATAGGCTAGCACTAGTAAATATATTTATTATATTGTGTAACCATTGCCATGTTATAGTTACAAAACCTTGTAAAAAGGGAAGCTCTATGCATTAAATAGCAGCTGACTGTTTCCCTTCTTCCAGCCCAGAACTATCATTCTACTTTTGTAGGTATAATTTTGAGTGACATCAAACAATTTGTCCTTTTGTATCTGGCTTATTTCATTTAGCATGCCTTAAGGTTCATCCTCATTGTAGCATGTGTTAGAAATTCTTTCCTTTTTAAGGTTGGGTAACATTCCATTACAGATAGATACCTCATTTTGTTTCTCAGTTAATTCATTGATAGACATCCTGTTGCTTTCACATTTGAATTATTGTGAAGAATACTGCTACAAACATGAATCTACAAATATCTCTTCATGATCTTACTTTTAGTTGTTCCAAGTATAAATCCAGAGAGAAAATTACTGAATTTTTTTTTAGTAGTTGATAAGCTTTCATACTATTTTCTATGTCATTGGAGTTATTTTTTTTCTTTTAAGTTTTTATTATTTAAATACACCATACTAGAGCAAATGTCTCTGAAAATATCACAAATAAAAGATTTTTTTCTTCATTCAGCAAATTAGAAGTAGGGGGGAATTTCTACACAGTAGCTGCTATGAGCCTGATTTTTTTCTCTCTCTGGTTTTTTTTTTAATCTTTGCCAAGGGAGTAACAACATTAGGACAAAAACACTTACATGCATGCATACATTGTATTTTACAGAGATAAAATAAGTGTCTGTGATAGAATATCACAAAAGCCACATCTCTTTCCTTTATCTCACGTTCAGTTTTGATTGAAACACATTTCCTTACAACACTTAAATATACAAGAGCAAATAGAATGTTGTTAAGGTAAAACACAGGGTACAAACTCTGGCCGGTGCCCTGCTAATTGTTAATGAGGGTAGAAAGCAGATTTGAATGCTTCTTTTAATTAGCTTCATTAGTCATTTCCCTCCCCTAAACTCCCTCCCCCCCAAGATGTCCTCCGGTGGATCTTTTTTCATTTTCTCTACAGTCTCCCATTAGCCCAGGTTCATGGAGTCCTTAATGTTCATATTCAGTCATTTTAATACACCAATAAATGCGGGAAGGGCAGTCAAGACTAAAGAAGGTGCAATGGCATGG